AATTTCGAATCACCAATTAACCTCAACATGTTTTTGGACTGTGTGGGAGGAAGCCGGAGAACCCGGAGAGAACCCACGCTGCACAGGGAGAACATGCAAACTCCACGCAGAAAGATTCCAGTTTCCACCGGGGCGCGAACCAGCGACCTTCTTGCTGCGAGGCAACAGTGCTACCAACTGTGCTACCAACTGCGCCACCTTGCAGCGTCCAGAAACATGTTGAGGTTAATTGGTGATTCTAAATTGTCCATAGGTGTGAGTGTGCTTGATTGTCTGTCTCTAAGTGTAGCCCTGTGACAGGGTGACAGGGTGTCCCCTGCCTTCACCCTGAGTCAGCTGGGATAGACTCCAGCCACCCGCGGTGTATAGATAATGGATGGATGGATTTTATAACCTTTATCAGACCAAATAACTTATCAGCTAATCAAGAAAATAACTGTCCGACTCTCGTGTTTCTTAATTTATCATTTAAAACAGACCAACATCTGAAGGGGAAACAGGATGGGTTAATAATCAGCTACTTCTGGCTCCTTTAAAATGTTAAAATGTCTTTTAACATTGTGCCAATGAACCTTATCCTGGAACTGGTTAGAAGAAAAGCACAGCATGGCTTTAATCACCTAATATTAGAAAAACAAGCTGTGCAATAAGATAGATTTATTTAGAGCTGAGACTTGAACCTGTCATTTGCTGCTGGTTACAATATTATATCATCATTTATGCCACAGAAATATGGCTGAGAGTAAAATGTGTGCCAACCAATCCTGGTCTCGTCTCCTAAAGCCCAAAAAAGTAAAACTATTGACCTTGTCTTTTTGGTGTCAGCTTCTAACAACCATAAAAATAACCTTCACTGACAATAGGTTTATCATGAGACACGACCGTGGGCGTACGCACTTCATTTCCTTCTTCTTCTTCTTTTTTTTATTGGATGTACTATTTGTGTCTTCTCTGTATTAATTTATGATGGAAATGTCGTTATTTTCCATATGTAAAGGAAACTCAAAATATAATCGAACATATATGAATCTAATTATGTTTTCCACAATAGATTTAGTGGTTGTATGAGCTTGTAATTCATATTTGTGGGCTCTTTTTAAAAAAACAAAAACAAAACAGCGCATCCATTAGTAATGTTATAGCGTTAAAAATCAATTTGCTTCCTTTATGTTTTTTTGTGGCGGACAAATACAAATGTTTGAAAAACTGAAGGGGATGTATCTCCTTCTTACCACCTGAAATCTACACCTCTGAGCACTATTATAAACATCCACACTGCTGGGTTCATACAAGAATGCAACTAACTCATAAACTGTTCTAAGTAAAGGTCAGGAAACTCCGGGGAAACTCAGAGAAGAGACATTATTAAGATCTTTAATTTTGAAAAGACATCTCAGAGAGAAGTAATCAAATTCTTAATTCGTACCAGAAGTTTTTATAATGTTGGCAAACCTCTTCCATTATTATTAATATATGTAAATCCACCTCAAAAAATAGTGACAAATGCCCACAGCCCAAAGAGATGCATTCACACGATGTAAAACAGAAATAAACTGTTAAACCGACAATCTAAATCTTTGTTATTGTTAATCATATCATGCAACTTCAGTGACTCTTTCTGCTAAAGCCATGTTGCCAAGAAAGACATATACAGTAATCTAATCGAAGTGCCAGTTTTGGATGTGTGGGCAGACTCCCATGAGTCACAGGTTTTATATATTTATTTGATTTATTAAAATCCTACTCTGCTGGTATTGACAGGGAGGTAAAGCCGAGCAGGTGCGGCGTCAAACTTCCACAGAGGTGGTCGGTCAGCGGGACACATGGCAGAGGAAGCCAACAAGCTGACACTGAGGCGCCTCGAGGCACCGATCCACAAGTTCATTAAAGTGGCCCTGCCCACGGACCTGGAGAGGCTGCAGAAACACCACAGCAACATACTGAAGGTGACGACTGAAATCTGGCTGCACACAGGATCGCGCCCTCCAAACTCTTCCCTCCCAGTCTGCGGATGAATAACTTTTTCTTTCTTGCTCACAGTACCAACAGAGCCAGCAATGGGAGCGCCTTCACCAGGAGCACATCAACGCCAGCAGGACTGTTCAGGTACAAGCTAAAAGCAGAAGGTGTGTGTGTGTGTGTGTGTGTTCGTTCGTGTGTGTTCAGTGAATGTGAGGATTGTTCAGAGGATGATGTGACTCACTACCTCTCGAAATTCCTGAACATGCATGACTCTGCAACTGCATAGAGTATTTTTTGTCTCACACTGTCGGGACCTCATGACCTCCTAAATCTGGACTTAGGAGGAGCTTGACATTTCCTGGTTTGTGGCGATTATGTACTCTTGCTTCAAAATAAGACGTAACGAACGGAAACAGGGCAGCCTCTGCTTTGTGTGTTTGTGGTTTTTTGTTTCAGAGCCTGTTTGTGATGATATCTGACTCAATCAAAAGCCCACTGACTCATGCCGGGCTATAATATATCCAAAGGTCCAACTACTTGGTGTGTCCAAAGTTTTTTAACCACACCTGGTGGCCTCCCTTAGCAAATAGTTACTCAGATGTTGAAGAGATGGCTTAATTGACATTATGTGTCAATTCTTGGCACAGGAATCTCCTCCCATACATGACCAGTCCTGATTACACAACTGACTACCTCATGTGATAGCAGCTAAAAACAAATCTCTACAACAGAGCTGCTCAGTCTGTTGAGAAAACAACGAGATGTGGTTGTAAACAATATGATGAATCTCACCAATCTATGAATTTGGAATTTTACAATTAAACATTACTTTGTGTGTGTGTTTTTTTAACATATACACCTACAAAATGATTCATACCCATGCCAAATTTTGATTTACAACAAATTTTTATTTGACGAATACGTTTCTTCTTGATGGAAAGGACATAAACAAAGATGGTTAGACTTTGTATTAGAGATGTCTCCACTAGGATTTAGTTCCTCCAAGTGTCCATCTGCAGCTCTTGGAGCTTGAAGGCTTCCTCTCCATCACTCTGCTCTTCAGCTCCTCCACAGG